AATATATACTAGAAGAAATCTGATGAAGAACAACAGGGCCATATTGACTCGGATGCATGTTGTGGCTGGGCCACTCGTTTTGAATATCTTACCTCATCTATCCTTTGCAGTAACCTATTAAATTATATTGTTTAAAAAGAAACATAGTAAGTAAAATGATCATTCATACAATGTTCTAATAAATTATTATGGTGACAATTAATCATTTAATGTAGAATGAACTTGCACTATAGTTTTCATATATCTAATATTTTAGGCATGTTGCATGGTTTTATTAACTTTATTTTTGCCCATTGAAATTGAAATAAAATATATATTGTGTCCTGATCAAATATAAACATTATATTACTAATACCTTTTTAGTCTTGTTTATTTGAATTGAGCTAAATATGTCAAGAAATTTTGATAATGCTTTTGAGTTATACTCTGAATTATAATTCTTTTTATGTCATATAATACTTTAGCAATGATAGAAAATCACTAAAAAAAAACCCCGAATAACACTGATAATCAATAGAGCCCCCCCCCCCCCTCCCGTAGAACCCCTCACCCTGTGGCTACAAAGAACTACGCACGCTAACTCTTGATTGCCGCCTACATTTTACATCCATTTAATTCAATACTAATGGTAATTTGGCCGTAAAATCTTTGTTGAATGCAAAGAACTGTTCAATGGTAATTGACTGATATTTTAATATCATTGTTAAATAGTTCATTACCCCTAATTCTAGCTCTTTATATAAGGGGAGTAGACGATATTTTTCATTGAAATAGGCTTAAAAGCATCACCACATTTTAAAATATTCTTGAATATAAATAAATGTTCCTTAGATCTTTTCTTATGTTTCACTCATATAAAATTAAACATATATTATTAATAAAATACAATATTTTAGTTGCAAACCCTTTTGAAATTGGTGAAAAATAAGCATTTTTGTAGTTTTTTGTCTGTAAACATATCCCCCCCCCCCCCCCCCCCCAATGTGAAACACTAAAAGCTTTGGTATGAATTTGTGAAATGATAATCCATATTACCTGTAAAAAGGAATTTAAAATGTTTTCCGTTTTTCGTCGATTTCTATAGTGAAAAACACGTTTCACCAAAATTATAGAGTTATCTCTCTTTGTTTTCCCAAAGAAGTAATGTTTTATGAAAATTCATATAATTATAGATATGAAAAATCATTCAAATATGTTAACTTTTGAAAATTGACTTGGAGGTAGGCGGGAGAACAATACTATCGTTCGCAGTTCTTTCACAATTTTGGAAGAGGCTGTTGCTAGGTCAAGGGTTCAGGTGGAGGGGGGTCTGTTGAATATATAGTGAAAATGCATTATTTCTTTAAAAATCTTTTTGTCTGCCCCTGGGTATTTAGCAGACAAACTAATGGCATGGTTATGATGAGCAAGGGTGCCTTTTCTAAAAGTTTGAAATTTATTACCCTTGGATCAGGGTTCTTGGTGTTAGGATGGGGCTCTTTTGAATATACAGTTTTTGATTTCGATGAACGATGTTGCTGTGGTTACTAAGAATGAAATTTCTGTGAAATACATTCAAAACGCTACTCCTACAGTTTTGGTCTGATTCCAATCTAACTTGGCACACAAGTAGACTACACTAAGATACATAATTCTCAATATTAGTTTTTGATGTAGTTGGACTGTGTTGCCATGGTTACTAAAAATAGAAATTTCTGTGAAATACTTTCAAAACTACTCCACCTACATTATGGTCTTATTTTAATATAACTTGGCATGCAAGTAGACTACACTGAGGTACATATTTGTCTTAATCAGGTTTTGAATTTGATGAATGACGTTACCATGGTTACTAAAAGAAAGAAATTTCTATAAAATTCTTTCAAAAGACAACTCTTACAGTTTTAGTCTGATTTATTGCACTAAATCTTGCCACAGAAAGAGACTAAACCAAGGATCAAGTCCAAGTGCCATTTTTCTCTTCCTTTGCTATAAGTACAAACAAGTAGAGCTACACTCTCGTCAGAGACTTCTGGTTTAAATTTTGCATTATTGGGCAAATTTATTGATTTGTATTCTACTGAAAGAAGTTATGCTCCTTTGCTTTTCACCTATGCTAATTAAGTACAGGTCCAACTAAGAATAGGCAAAATCAAAATTTTGTACTAAGTCAAGGTTTGAGAATTGACTTGAAACTTACATATTTATGCATCAAGACATATGTATTATTTGTTCAATGATTTGGAAATACACTGTTTTAATTTGATAGGCTTTTAATTGAAAAAAAATGTTATGAACATGAGTAGCACAAATCTATACAATGATACGGATATTGAAACCTCAACAAATTAAAATAGCAAACGTTACGAGAAAATATGATAAATATGATAAAGCTATTTATATACTATAATCTTAGATTTTAAAAAGTTTGGAAAATAGCGACTTTAAACCTGGTAATTACTTCTAATATCAGTGAATTTCCGTTATCGTTCTTGATTTATGTCTTACTTTCATGCTTGTTGGTGCTTCGTTAATGCTAAGAATAATAAAATCATATCAATTAATGATCGAATTTTGTGTTATACTTAGGATACTTAGGATTATTTAATCTACTGAATATTATGGAATGTTTATTTTTTAATAGACATTTCCTATTCTTGAAAGTTTAGCGATACAAATTGTGATGGCAAATTTGACGGGCCTTTATGAATTTGTTTTCTACTGAGAGATGTTATTCCCCTTTGCTATTCACCTAGGATAATTAATCACTGTAACAAATGTTATTGAAAGGTTAATTGAATAACAGAATTATACAACAATTTTCATAATTTTTTCATACAACAAGTACTTTCATAGTTTTTAATAGTCAGGTACATTTGTAAATAATAGAAAAATAAAATGGGACAAAAATACGTTATCTTTATACATAAAATATTCTTCAAAGACCAAGAGACCAATGTGAGAGGGAATGAGATGGCTAGACTTATATTGATCATAAGCTAGTAAACAGATCAATAGATCAATTTTACGATGTGTTATCGAGTACTAAATTTTGCTGATCTCTGATCATTCTATTTTGCTTTTGTGCACATAGCTTGGTTTATCAGCTTAGTTTGTTTTAGTTTATACTTCAATCTATGGATCCTTTACAGTGTCGTATTATACTCAGGTGACCGTTAAGGCCCTTGGGCCTCTTGTTTAGAAATATTATTCTCTAGAGCAGCATGGCAATATTTGTCATATATACATGTAAATATTAAAAAATCCCAATGTATACACTCATAAATCATAGCTCGAAGAACTAGAGCTTGGATAAAATACAGATTCTCAATTTTACAGAGAAATACTCGTATACTGGAAATAAACAAAATGTTTTCAAGATTAACCACATTGTATCTTTTTGATATGCCAAATTTTCAAATCATGTGATTGATGTGAATTCATTTTTTTTTTCAAATTACAGGCCCTGGGGTTACCATAGGAGCTATAATGGGATATTAAATTTTTAAAATATCACTTTAATTAGGACATCGTACTCAGGTGACTTATTGCAATCTGTTTTAGTCCATTCGTCATGCATCATTTGCTGTCTGTTGACATTGGTCGTAAACTTTTTTTGTCTAAAACAACAGAACCAATTTCAACCAAATTTGGTTTTAACTCTTTATGGGTAAAGGGAAACAAAAATAGTGAATTTCATAGTCTCTGCCTCTCAAAATCATCTAAATGCACAAATGCTTCAAAAATCTTCTCATCCTGTATATTAAGCAGACAAAGTGCATAGATATGATGAGCATGGGTGCAATATCACAAAAGTGTGATATTCATGGCCCCAGTAAAAATGCATTAATTCTTTGAAATTTTTTCTCTCTGCTCCTGGGTATTAAACAGACAAATTTATTTTGTGCATGATTATGTTGAGAAAGGGTGCCTCGATTTTTCCAAATCTGTGAAATTCATGGCCTCTTCAGGGGTTCTAGTGTTAGATCAGTGCTTATGCTCATATAGTGACAATGCATTAATTCTTTGAATCTCTCTGCTCCTGTGTAGTAAACAGATAAAACTCATGCATGATTACAATGAGCAAGGTCACAGTTTCTAAAATTGTGAAATGTACAATACCAGACTTACTTTGGATGCTGGATGTGAAAGATGCTTTCCTGATTTCAATAATTGTTACTGTTCCAATACTAATTAAGATGCTTTAATATTAGTATCATATATCATTTATGCATGAAATATATGGAGATAACGAACAGTATCAATCAGGTGTTACTTATACCAACTGAGAATTAAATGTCATACATATATTTATAAGATAAAAGCAAAATGCCAATCATCCAAAAAATTCTTTCTAGGATGTAAAGCAAATCTAAATATCACAAACATGGCAAAACTTTGTAAACTTAGAGAGAGCTAGAAATTTAAAGAGATTGAATTTTGAATTCATAAGATCAGGACTTCTGACTCAATTCAAAAATCCAGGTTTTTGACGAAGACTCCAAAGAGAATGCAGAATAATCTATATTTTAAGAATGTGATTAACATTTTTTCCACACTTCTAATCACATGTTTGAAAAAAAATAATTCTATATATACATGTACATTAATTTGTTAATCAAACATATCATTTTAAGGATGATAATCATGTAAATATTATGAAGGAATAGAAAAAAATATTTTGTAATATTCAATCATTAAAATTAACTTTACCGAGTGATGCGCATACTATAGTCTGTGTAAAATGCCTCAGTCTAAACACATGTACATTTATACATCCTGATTTACACAATGACATACAGGCATCATTGCAATGCAATATGTAATTTGGTACACTTCATATAATATATGCATTGTGCAAACAAAAAGAGTTATAAATTTAAGACAATTCACAATCAAAGAAAATTTTTCAGAAGCATGAACTATTAACATTGGTTACAAAATGTAAAAATACAATTCACAGCAAATACATCAGAAATTATATGTACAATAAGGCTTTGTCCATTTGGGTAAAGTGGTGAAATTGAGAATTGTAAAATTTAAAAACTTGAAATAAAAAAAAAAAACACTAAACAAAATTGTAACTTAAGCTGAGAGAAAAATCTATTGTACTATTATGTAATACAGGTTGAAAAAACTTGTTCAATTTTTTTTTCAATCCACATTTCAAAGTAAAAGGTCATCAACCTTTTCTACTATAAATTTAGCTAGGCTCAATGCCTGATTTGCTTGGATGCTATTGTATGCCAAGGATGGCCTATGATTCCCATCTGGATACCTCATTCTTTTAGTTTCATGTGTTAAATTTTGTAGTTCTTGTGCTGAACGTTGAATGTCTTCAGGACATGCTCGAGCAAGATCTGACAGGTTTTCAGAGCGCACAACACGCTTGGCATCTTCATTGTACTGCCATGCTATCAATGCTTTTTCTGCAGCCTTCAAATACAGGAATGAAAAATAAAAAGATATGACCATACATTATGAATGATGCGGCAGACCTCTTGATATATATATATATATATATATATATATATATATATATATATATATATATATATATATATATATATATATATATATATATATATATATAATTTTTTGCTTTTTAAGTTAAGATACACCATCATTGACAAAACTGTTTAATAATGGATTGGGTACAAGTTTTTAAACCAAGCTGCATTGATTTTAATCATGTAAACAGATTGCTAGCCTAAATGACCATGGGTACAGAGAAAGATTTTCAAAGAAGTAATGGTTTTTCAACATGTGAGCAATTATACTCAACCCGAGGGATTAAACTAGGATTTTCTCATTGACCTGCCTATAAGTTGGTACTGATTGCTTCCAGAATCTGGTGCCAATTTCTGATTGATACTCTAATGGATTTACCTGTATTTCAAAGTATGTATTTGCCCATATTTCAACGTATATTTTGATGTATGATATCGATTATTGATATTTTATTTATGATTTAAACAAATATAAGATCATTAATTTGCAAGGATTTTAATGATAATCTAACAACAAAACTTTATGATAAATGTGACGACTTTAACTTTTCTATCATCAACTTCGTTTATTTGTGAAGCAATATACCCTTATCACCTGTATATGGGGTTTATATCTTCCAATTGATTCGATATGCAAGAGCATGTTCCACGTACGAACAATTTCTAAAACGAGGCAAGCTATTGACAAACAAGTTGATGAAACAAGGCTATCAACAGTCTCGTTTAAAAATCATCATTTCGGAAGTTCTATGGTCGATACAATGACCTTGTCAGGAAATATAATTCATCATTAAGTCGAATGCTGACTGATGTTTTCATGCTAGTTGTTAGGCCATTATTTAAACACTTAGTTGTCATTTGTCTGATTTGATCTGTTTTTAGAGGTCTGTATATGTTCTGCTTCCAATTAGTATTGTTTTAATATACTTTTGAGCTTGATTACTGTTCGCTATCTCCATTCCGAATTGTTAAGCGCACGGCGGGTGTGTTCAACAGAAAATGCTTACTCCCCCATGGCACCTGATCGAACCATTGATGTTTTTTAAAGGTCGGTGTTTGCCTTTCTCTAAGTCTGTTCTGTTTCAGTGGACTTTTGATTTTGATTACTGTTTGTTATCTTCGTATTCAAGATTGCTGTTTGTTTTCTTCGTATTTCATGAGACCAAATAGACCCAGGTCCCGTGTCACAATACATGATGGCCACACGTGCTGAGTGCAGGTTTACATTTGAAGCCTTCCATTTGCATTAGTGGCATCTCCATATGAATGAAAACTACATTCCCAAAGAGACGTAAAGAAAACAAACAACAAACAAATCATATATGCCTTTGACATGTCAAAGCACGTGTTTTTCAATCAGATGTTTGTTTGTTGTTTAACGTCCCTCTCGAGAATTTTTCACTCATAAAGAGACGCCACCACTTGCCAGTGGTGGGCTGCAAATTTATACCTATACTCGGCATTCAGGGCCATTGAGCAGTGAGGGATCTTTTTCGTGCCAACACCTACTGCAACACGGAATCTGGGTTTATACAGTCTCATCCGAAGGACATCCCGCAGTGGGATTCGAACCCGCGACGTAAGGATCAGCTCCTTACTCAGCCACTCTAGAGCAAATGCTCTAACCACTGCGCTATGCGGGCGACATCAGATGTTTGAATGCCACTGAGATATTTGGGCCTCAGCTTGATTGGATGTTGTCTAATATCCCGATCAAGAATTCTTCACTCATGCGGAGACATCACCTGCTTTAGGTGAAATGCCTCAAGTTTTCACCAACACTTTCCACATATAGTCGTAGCAGTGAAGGTTCTTTATTGTGTCGCAGTCTACCATGGCACGAGACCTTGGAATTTAATTCACTTCTCATGCCAGGTGCTTGGCAAAGGTACAGTCACTTAACCTTTGTTAACGTTTTGGGTTTGACATGGTGCCAGTAATAAGAAGCAAGTGCCCAACATCTATTTTAAAAACACCATGACTGACTTACAGCATCAGAATTTTGGGTCCCATTTTTGAAGAAGCTTTAGAGTTGCAAAGACCAGAGGAGAAAAGTGCAGAGTCACCTTAAATAGGAATACTATACTTCAACTAAACTTTAAGATATTCTGAAGTTGCAAAGTTTTAGATTCAAGTTGTAAAGTACAAGTATTAATCCAAAATGTAAGTAAAACAGTCTTAAAGAGTGCCTTATAGTGTATATATTGATTACTTACTTGATGACTGGAGAGACAAATCCAGTTGAAGAAATCATCCTCTAAACATTCGGTTTTTCTTGCAAAGCGCAGGTCATACTTGGATTCCTCCAACCATTTAGATGCTTCAAATGGCTGTGGGTTGGGGCAGTAGGTTTCCTCAGTCTGTTGATTTGGTCTTCTTGATGATGACGAAGTCCGATGAAAATAATGTTGGTATTCTTGTTCTCGTCGGAAAAAGGTTTCAAATTCTCTGAAAAATTGATCACTCCAAGGGTGATTTTCATTTGTTTGTTCTGTTCTATCTGTTATGTCAACATTTTCTCCATTTTCAAGTTTCTGAATTATATTTCTTATATACTGAAATACTTTTGTTGCTCTTTCAACATCGTGTGGATTTTTATCTGGATGCCACTGGAACATTACTCTGCGACAGATATTTCCTCTTTGTTCTTTTGGCAATGTGAATGCATGTTTCAAACATTCTCTGATTTCTTTGAATATATCTTCCAGTGTTCTATTATCTCGAGATGGTAAATTGTTTGTGGAACTTGCTTCTTCTGATGGTTCTCTTTGATATAACACTTGAACCTGAAAAGCTTCGAAATTATTAAAATCGTCAGGTACCTTAGATCTATTGAATTTGTATAGTTCATAGGCTTTCATCTCCATTACTTTTTGTGGCTCAGTTTGGACAAGATATGCTTGCAGAAATATCATATCACTTGTATTGGTAGCTGACGAAAGCTTTTCTTTCACTATTGCATATTTGTATTCCATATCACCCTTACTGTTCGTTCCAGTAAGGTGTGCAACATATTCATTAGGCTCAAACGAAATAAAGGCGTTGTCTAGAATACCATGCCATCGGATCTCTACAACATCACCAGGATTGGGAAGCTGATGGGAAAAATCTTTATGCTTTCTGTTTAGAGATTGAACAAAACGTTCATCCAAGAAGGATTCAATTTCATCACGACTTCTTACTTTGTTGCATATCATATGAAGGTAATCTGATAGTGTTTTATGGAAATTACAACCAGTGCATTTTCTTATAGCTGTAGAAATGTAATCTAGATATTTTTTCACAACCTTTTCTGGATCATATTCATCAGAAAAATCCGAATAAATAGAACATTTTAAATGACCATTTTCTTCACTGCAGTCTAAACAACACCTACGAGATCTGCTTTGAATATGTCTGTTTTGGTAAATAAACTCTTCCTGTATATTGCTGGCACACTTCAAACATATTGCACGCAAATTTTCCTTTATACGAGAAATTTCATCATCTGATGGTAGATTTTCTCTCTTGTCAAGCCTTTCTTGGTAAACAAGTCTCAAGATTCCATTGATGAATTCACTGCTTGTAAGAAAATCATTTATTTCTCTTGATACTTGGTTGTCTGTGACATTAGCCTTTGAAACATCAATTTTAGATGTGATAACATCAGATATAAACATGGGTCTAATTCTCTTTGGCAGACATTTTATCTTTGCTTGAAAGTTTTCTTCATCCATTCCCTCTATAGATGACAATATACTAAAGTGTTTTTCTGCTTTGATAACTTCACCCATGAATCGAACATTGATGTGCATTAATGATTCAGCTGTTAATAGTTTGCCTTCTTTAGATAATAGGTAAAGTGCCTGGTTCTCAAACATCTGTGAAACATCATCATCGGATGAGAGAAATTCAAACAGAAATTCCATTGCTTTTTGTGCAGTTTTCAGTTCATTTACATTCAATGTATCATCACTGGAATGAATTTCTTCTAAAACCTTTGCAAATGTTTTTGATGATATTTTTCTGGAAGCTCCAAGTTTTTCAAACAGTTGAAAGAAACCAAAATATTCGTCTGGTAAAGCCATTAAATATGGTATCATCTTGTATTTTTCTTCCAGCTGAAGAATGAATCTTTCGCAAGGAAATAAGCATGGAAACTCTGTCATGAATACAAAAGGAATTCTCTTAAAAATGTTAATGTCCATCTTTTGTAAGACTTTTGAATCATTTGCATATTGATAAAATGTTTTCATTAGATTTGAAATACTCGAGACACTTAAGGAACTCAGATCCTTTTCTGATAGATTTCCGATCTTGTTGCATACTGTTTGAATATGAGTAAGAACTGTCTCGGCTGTTGGTTTCTGAACTCCAAGGTTACACAGTTCAAGTCCACCAAACACAATTTCACTGCTAATCCAAGAAGGCAGAATACGACATTGTGTCCAGATGATGCGTTCAAATTTGTTCATCACAGATCCTTGGAAACGTATAAGATGATTTGATTTATCTTGTGGATAAGGATATATTCGACAATACACTGCATTTATTTGGTGTGGAACGACAAATTTTATTCGACTCACTCGTTTAAGAAAATCAGCGGAGTGAAGCTGAGTTGCATATAATAGATGATTGACAAGGCATCTTGATTTGTTTTCAATAATTTCAGACATTCCACTGCGTCCTTGTAATTCTAACTGCAACACAAACTCTAAAAACAAATCTTTTGTCACTTCAGTTTTCATGCCAACTAAAGTCATGAAATTTTTCCATGCAAGAGTTGAAAAAGGATGAGGCGGGTAGCATTTTGGATCTTCGCACATGACCTTCATCAGTTCATTGAAGGGGCTGAGGAACTCAGAAGCTAACTTGAAAGTTCCATCAACTTGGGGTATAAATGGTATTCCTGTCAATGCCTTCACAAGTTTGTTTTGTTCCTCACTATAGGTAGTAGAATGTTTCAACAATTGATCTTTAATATATTCAAGGTGGACCAATCTATGCTCTTCGGGTATATTTTGAAAGAATGGAAGAATATGTACTCTGTACACTTCACATATGCTATGCTCTGTCACGTTGAAACGCTCAAATATGCATCTCAGTCGTTCATTTCTGCGTAGCAAAATTTTGCACGTCCGTTCAGCCCACTTGTTCATTCCATCTGCTGGAAGTCCACCAGGAAGAACTAATATATCACGATTTTCTTCAAGACTAATTTTTTGTCCATGTACTGTCGTGAATAATGGGAGCTTTCTTAACTTGTCAAGACAATCTCCTGCATTTGGAAAGCTCAGTAATTCTGTTAGTCCTCCTGCAAAGTATTCTAAAATTTTGTCACAGTCGTCAAACATTATTTGATCATTCTCAGAAATTAATTGCCTATGAACATACAAACATTCTAAAACATCCGATATACGATCTTGCGAAGCAACAAGATGGCGCAGTGGATGATTTGGCGGCAGACAGTCATCGTTTAAAATAGGTAAATTTAGTTTTCTAAGAGATATTTCCATGGCAGGCTGAAAAGATGACAAATTGATGACATGGCAGGCGAATTCTACTGGAATAAGTAAGTGTTGAACATCACTTAAAGATCCCAGGAACCGTTTCCCACATACTTGTGTGGCAGGAATAAGGCACCATGGAAGAATTGGGTGAATTAGGCGTTTTATTTCCAGTTGATCTCGGGTCTCGCCCAACTCTTTCTTGAGGAATTTCCAAAGTTTCTTCATCCACTCTTTATTAGGAATGTTTGACTGATGAGGGTTCCATTGACAATTTCGATGACGATAACTGTCATAATCCAATTCAAAATTCAGACGTTCTTCAAACTTTTGAACAGTCATTTTTTCAATGCAATTTATTTCCACTTTTGAGAGTAGTTCATGCAATTTTTTGTGAAGTTTCTTTTCTGCTGAACTTGGAATCAAGTCTGAAAAGGGTGTAAGTATGACAGGATTTTCACTTCGATATTCTACAAGATTTCCCGTTTCCAACAAACAGATTGGGAGTCCTTCTATTTCTCCGTTGAAATTTTCACTTTTCATGCAAAACTCTAAACATGCAATTAAACGTTCAACTCTTTTGAAAGGTGATTTTACTAATTCTAAGAATCCATTAATTCTGATAATGTTTTTAACTTCACAGTTTTCTGATTTCAGAAATTCAATCACATTTTCTGGACTTAATTTATCGATTGATATATCGGCATTTTCCATGCATGTGCAGATCCATATTGGTGTATCTACAAGTTTCATATTTAAGTCTTTTGCAATCTCAATTATTTTTTCATCGTTTCTGTAATCTTTGTTGAAAAGAACTTTTCCTTTTTCTTCGTACAGGGAATAGCCAAAAACTTTGCAAACATCTTGTTTGATCAAACGGCAAGAAAAAAACAAGTTCATGTTTCTCTCTGCAATACAGTCATAAACCGCTCTCCCAAGATGTTTCCAATAATGGTTACTGGCTAATGCAACATTTGGAAAGAAACTATGAAAGTTATCAAGTTTTCTCTGAAGATTAAGGGTTTCATATTCTTCCATGGAGGACAACCCCATAATACTTTGTAATAAGTCCAATGCTTTTGCATAGATTGGAGCGATAACATGAGATAATAACATGTAGTTCCACTGTGTTCTGTATTCTCTTTTATCATCTTTCCACAAATCTCTTCTCGATTCGTTGTCAAGGGAAAAATGACCATTGATGTGCAAAGTCAAGCCTGTTTGACAAGGTAGAGGCAAAAAGCAAAATGCAGTTGCATTTTGAAGAGCAGAGCTCTCCAAAGGCATTGCAATTCCTCCCTGAGGCAGAAGACCTAAGTTCTGATCATCAAAAGCATCTTGGACTGAATTTGGAATACAAATTCCTTCATGGAACCCAAACGTTTGAATGAGACACCATTTTTTATCTTTTTGAAATGTACTTTTGATAGTCACAAAATAAGTAACATCAATTTTCTCCGTTATGAACATTTCTCTTTTTTGCTGGAACATTGATGACATTTTCACGACATATTTGTCAAACTCTGATTTTTTGGATTTGTCTTCATCTGAAAGCAATAATTCAGTAGTATTTTTCACAACTAATTCTCCATTTTCGATGCTTGCTATTGATATTTTTGTCACATTTCGCAAAAATAATAAGGATTTTGCCATCTCCAATTCAAATGTCTCTAACATATTCAAGATAGTTTGTTTTGAAACTTCTTTATTTGAAAGTTCAGACTCTCTTGCAAACTGGGGAGTGCGAAGAGGCAACCGAAACACTGTTCCTGGTGATTGAAGCAAAATATCCTCATGATAACATTTAAATACATCTGCGAATGGAATTCTTAAATCACTTAGCTGAGTAAATTGTGCCCCAGGAGAACATTCATTTGCACCCGGTGCATACTTGCAATGCGGATCCATAACACACAATGTATCTTTGTCTTCTTCTGGTGATTTCGAAAGGAATGATGGAACATCTGTTATGTGATATACAGCATTGAAACCAACTCCATATTGTCCAGTTTTTGTAGGATCATCCCCTTTCGATCCTCTTCCTAAGTGTTGAATTCCAACAATGTCATTTTCGGTAAAGTGGCTATTGTTGTAGGCTAAAAGTGCAGGTCCTTGAAGAGGATGCCAAGACGAATCAAATGTTTGTTCCGTCTCATAGGTGTTAAAATCTGTGATGAACATTACTTCTGTGGCCTTGGCATCATCAGCATTTTGCAACATTTCTTTTAAAACTCCTTCACTGAATGGATACTCCTGAAGTATTCTTTTTATTCGATCAGAAAGTTCTTCTTTTTGTCCAAACGGTTTCAACTGTTTTACATAATTTTGCATTAGTGATCCACTTACCTTCGACTGCACACCTAGAATTCGAGCATCAGCCTCTCTTATCTTTGGATGTGGGTATTTTAACGATTCACCCTTCTTTAACATTGTACTGTCATCTAAACACAAACGACGAATCGGAGAAAAGATTCCATATTCATCGGGAATACAAATATCAAGAAATTCTTCAGGATATTTGGTTCTTTTGTACACTTTTGCAAGTAATTCAACAAGATTACACGCAAGGTCTAAAGACTGTTCATCTAGTTTACCTCTGTGTTTCTTTGTCATCTCTTTTAGAATCGGAATTACATCCTCTTCTTGAAATTCCTGTTTAACACCAATTTTTTGCAAAAAAAATGTGTTGCTTTTCCATGTGATGCGATCTAAGCCAAATAATTCTGGAAAGCAATTTACTTGAATAGAAAATGCAGTTTGATTTGGCTTAACGAATGTATCATCAATAAGTAGACAGGGTTTGTCTCTTAGCATTTCAATTTCTGACGATGATTCACTTCGGCAAACACTGTCTAGATATTCATATATATCAGCACAAATAGTTCTTAACAGTCTTTTGGAGACGTCCGAAAATGAAGCAGGTTCAGTATTTTGACATATATCGATTAGCTGCTTGACCACTATGGCTGTTTGTATTTCCTTTTTGAAATTTACACCAATTTCAAGTAGCACATTTTTGGGGTACATTGATACCTGCAACACTGACATGTTTAGAATTAGTTCTCGGCATCCGACCAAATTTTTACAAGAGTCCGAGTAAAGATCAGATGGTTTAGCCAGTGTGCATGAAAAATTTTCTTCTGAGTGTAGAGAGCACTTTGAGGTAAATCTTTTGCAATTACTGTCATCTAAGAACCATGACAATGACCAATTCGTTGGTTTTGGTAAAGTTGGTAGAAATGCAATGTTTTTAACCCTGGTGATTAAATTTTTCGTCAAGGACTTGGTATCTTGAAGATATTTCAAAATGTTATTACATCTTTCGATACTACATTTAGCACATTTCTCAGCAATACTTTGAACCGAAGAAATTCGTTCAATCAAGATGTCTTCTTTTATCTCATCTATCATCATTCCCATTGACTTCAGTACTACTTGTCTAGCATATGATTCAAACTCTCTTGCAACAAAACGTTCGTCCTCCTCGCAAAACAGAGATGCTCCTCGTCCGCCTCGCTTCACCAACTCACAAGGTCTCTTCAGTGTTCCGTTGGGAGTTGTAGGTATACATCTGATTGCTTCAATTTTAGATGTAACTGATTTATTTGCCTCATCTAATGCAAATAAGACCAGATTTGATATCATTTCAGACGACCAGTATTTATCGTTGATATTTTTCAAAAATATCTCTACATAAAAACTTTCTAAAGAGATAATTTTCGACTGCATCTTTTCAGGTAGTCTTCCAAATAATATCTCAAAACTTTCTGAAATCTGTTTTTCCAGTGGAATCAAGAAAACTTCATCGTTTTCCCTGTATTTGATTGTTGCATTTGTGGCTATTTCCCCTATTTTTGACGTTTGCAGCATTGGGTCCAAGAATATGGCTTTACTCAAAGGTAACCACATGTCATCTTTACAAAAAACTTTGTTGTCTTGCTGAACAACTCTTTCATAAAATATTCTGAAAAAAGCATCAAACAAACTGTTTTCAGTATTTTTTGAGACTACTGGCCACAAATCTTGGTACTTTTCACAAATTATGTTATTTATCTCCATTGATTCAATCAAATGGATATATGCACGAATTACTGCGTCAGACAGCAATGCTTGATTCCACTCATGCCCAAAATCGATTTTGTCATCGGTTGTTTTCGAGGAGAGTTGTCTTCGATTTGAGGACACGGCAAACGACCCATTGACATGCACTGGAAGTGGTGAAGTAACCGGTAAAGGTAAGTAACAAAAAATATGACTTTCTCTGTAAAATCCATGAGGTGCTGCTTTCAAGGGTTTATACTCTAAAAAACCATCTTCCCCCTCAACGTAAACTGCTATGCTTGCCAGTGGCAGAACACCTTGAAGAGAAGCATCCTTTCCCATTTTTAAGCTTGCAGACGTACCAGATGCCCATGATGTGAACCATTTTGTTTCAGATCTCCCTATGTTTGACTTGAAAATCTGTTGGCAATGATGAGTAACTTCAGTTGTTACTTTAATTAATGCTGTTTGAAGAACTTGCTGAGGTTCTTTTCGAAAATAATTTTGACATTCTTTCATACTTATTCCAAACGATGTTAATATATCAGAATTGTACATAGTATCCTCTCGACACACTCGATGTAGAAGAACCATTTCATTTACACTGCCTTTCCTTGAAAGATGATAGAATTCAATTTCTTTCACATGTTGCGTGAAAAGAAGCAAGTTTCCTGCATTTTCCGTGAACAATCTTATCATACTTTTCATTTCAAGTTGATCATATGCTTTTTCACTTATTTCACTTTGAAAAGCTTGTTCTTTTGTTCGTAATGGAAATCGGAAGAGAGTTCCTTCACACCATGGATTCTCAGTATCTAAATTGCATCCAAAGATTTTATTAAAAGGCATAAATTGGTTTTTCATTCTTCTCAGCAGAATCTTGTTTTTTGTTGCTCTTAGGTCTATTTTAAGTCCTGGGTTACTTTTTTTCACAGCTTTACCAAGATATTTTGCATGTGGATCAAAAATAACCATATTTGATCCGGTAATGAAGGAAGGAACATCTGTTAGGTTGTATACTGAGCAAAATCCCAATCCAAATTTACCAACTTTTGTTAAATCATCCGCTTTGGTTGCCCCACTTAGCTTTGTGATATTCTCTAAATCCTTTTGAGAAAACAGAGCGTCATTAAAAGCCCATAAGGCTGGTCCTTGGCAGGATTCCATATGTTCATCGATTAGCCTTGATCTACAATTCATGTTTTCTCTTTCATCGTACAGAAAACACACCTTTTTGGCTTTAGCATCATCTGCATTTTGTACTATTTCTTTCGGAACTGCAAAACCATCCTTGTAATCTTTCAGAAGATTCTTTATCCGCCTTGTTAACGGTTCTGATTGACCCCACTCTTCGATACCCTCAGTCTCTGAAAGCAAATTTTCTGTGAGAGAAGGTACACCTAATTTTGCTGCTGTGTCAGATGTCACATCCTCGTGAACAAAAAACATCGATTCGCCTTCCTCTTCAGCTAAATCTTTCAACCATTCTGCATTGCAATAATTACAGTCTCTTGGAAGTCGAAATTCTAATTTTGTTTTTGAGCTGGAGTGAATTGGGACTGGAACATTCATACTACTGATTTCAGAAACAGATTTCAACTTATTCAGTATTCGAACAATGATATCAAGATCACGGAGAACACAGTCCACCCCAAGTTGCCCCTTTTCATGGTTGTTTTTCAATGCATTCAAAATGCTGATAAGTGTTTCCGGTGATTGCTGAGGCGTGCAGCCAAGGTGCTCTGCTAACTGTTTCATTTCTGGTGTTTGAAACTCCTTTGGTAAAGGTACAAGATATGGGTGAAGATCAATATCACTTGAACTTTTGTTGATGCATATTTGATTTGGTGGAGTAAATCCGTCACCCATCCACATATTTTCAAGTGGAATGTTGATGTGCCTTCTTAATGAATGAAGGTCAGCTAAGTGCTTATAGAGAAGCTTAATTGGAAGGAGATATTCTGATTTGTAGTCCTCTTCGTAATTTTCTACATATTTTGAATGTTGTTCCAAAACAAGTTCTAGATCTGGTGTTCTTTGCCATCCAAATTCCTCAACAAGTACCGAAGATGTATCAGAGGAAATAATTGGGGCTACAGATCCGACAAGTGCTTGGTACTCACTGTGATATACATCGGATGGTTTGCTGTAAAAATGATTTGACTTGTACAATGTCAAATTTGGTATCTGAGAACTTGTGCTTTGCTGTGGTCGTATTATTTCTAAGTGCATCAGGTGCGCTCTCAGAGTTTTTCTTTGGTCTTGCACACTCTTGTGAAACAATTGTCGTCTGGTGATTAATATTTTCATAAGTGCTGATTGTCTTTCTTTATCAGTAGAAGTTACACGGTTTTCAAAGCTGCTCCTGTGTATTTCAATAGCAGCATGATATATATCTGTTGCTGTTAACATTTCCCTAGACTTAAGTCCAAGTTTTCGGAGAACTTTCAGTCCTTTAGCCTGCACACTTTTGGCTGGAAACATTGACTCGTCCACAATTATTTTACAAGCTATCTCATCATCAGGATCATATAACTCAGAGGCTTTTTTGTACATGTATGTTCTGGTCTGAACAAACGGCACTCTTCTAATAAGGTGCAGGAGCTCATCACTTTTATTGTAAACCTTTTTTTCTATGACAAATTTCATTACTTGGAGCAGTTCTTCATGACTATAAAAGTTTGTGTCCAAAACATTATGCAGGATTTCTTTAAAAACATCTAATTCCCTCAGCTCTCTGGCCCCAAGTTCCTTTGCAAAGGAAATGATTTCTGCATTTCTTGTTAGAATGACATCTGAAGGATAACGCACAGGTAAATTTTGTGAAAGAATTCTTTGATTTTGAATAATGCTTACATAGCCCTTCACAGTTTCAAAAAGGTTTAAGTTCTGCAATACCCGTTGTGAACATTCGTTAAGGGGTGGGTATCCTCTGCTGAAATATTGTAGGAATTCTTTTCTCTGATCTGCTGTAGCGTTTTCGTTGAACTTCCCAACGTTTTCTGTCCAATTATACATTTGGCCAACGGTATCAATAGCATTGATAAGAACTGCTTTAGATGTACTAGGTATGAATTTGTATAATTGAGGATGTTGGAGAACAAACTCGGGCAATGATTCCAAAACTTTGATAGAAAGCAATTCTAAACAAATTACAATGTTTTTAGACAGCTGACCTTGAACCAAATTTTCTTTCAGTGAGTGCATTCTATAATCATTGCCATCTACTCTTTCTGGAATTAGTGGGAGATGTGACACTTTTCCAAGATTGTTAGGAAATGCTTTGACAATAACGTTCCATACCTTTTCGAGCCATTCGTAATTTATATTCGACTTTGAAATCGTCCATTTGATTGGACATGGACTGTCACTTATATTTTTTTGTATGGTTTGTTTAAGGAGATCAATGAAATTTCTTTCGTGCATGCACTGGATCTGGTATACGCCTAAAAAAGTTGATAAAGAGATACTACACATCATATCATTATCTCAATGATGAAATCCTGCTAATTTAATTCTTACATAAATTTTCATTTTTTTTTTAAATATGGATTGCAATCGAATACAGAATAGTCAATCGATTAACCTCAAGATGTTCCGACCGATTGATCGGTTAATCGAATCAACATGCATATTTTATCGTGTAAGCTCTATTAAAATATACAAGATAAATAGGCGCTAATAATATTATTTTTATATTTTATCAGAATACTATTATAAATTTTATTTCAATTTCAATAAGCAAAAACAAAATTAGGAAAACAATGAAACATTCCTAAAATATCAGATACATTAAAAATTTTCAGACCAGATGTCACGCAAGTTTGCTCCTACCGAGTAACGGCCGGTAAACCGGTTACAAATTGCTATGTCTAGTTAAAAATACCAAGAAGTATACATGTATTAAGCATGATATATGATGATAAAAATTATTTTACTTTTTACATTACCTTTCTTAATCAGATCTGAGAATATTTCTTGGAGATCTGGTGGTAAAGTACGCAATACTACATCATCCATTCCAACCAATATGTCTATAACCTCAGGGGGCACCATGTGTATGAAGTTATTGTTGATCTTGTCTCGACTGAATTTAGTGTATTCTCCACTTTGCAGTGGAACAAGATAAAGGCCTTCCAGTTTGTTCACGTTACAAGAACTCAAAAATCGAAGCAGATTGAACTTGTCATGATCACTGCAACTGGTGTATTCCCCCGACTTTCTCAAGATCCTAAAAGTACAACTAAAATGTACAAACTCATAATGTCCACAGAAATAGAGATGGCGGGCACATGACCTCCCATATCCAATGAAAGAGCGACATTTAAGTCCGACGTAAAATAAAATACGATGTTTGAATCCGACAACAAAAGATGGGTTTGCCTATGAGATCAAATAACTGATAATTAAAGTTAGAATATGTTAGAACTCTTACATGTTTATAAAGTCAGGTGTGACCTCACAGTTTCCCTCCAATTTCATTGTCTTCCACACATGGTCCTCCACATCCACGGTATTTTGATGATACATTTCAAGAATTTTTCGAACTGTTGTTTCTACTTCCTTGTCTTTTTAATAGAAAATTTCAGAAATTAATAAGAGGAAAATATATACGGTATACTGAAGCTTTGAACAAAAGCTGACCAAAACAATTTAAAAAAACTGTTTGTTTGCCCTCTCCGACCGACTGGCTAAAAATGGCTCGACTGAAAACTTTTTTAACCTCCACGAAACGATAATTTATTTCTTTTTATTCCTGAATTTTCTAATCCGGTCAATGTGTATGTTAAAATTTTCTAGGAAAAACAACGTCCCGCCTACCTACCGACCCAATTTTCTTACCCCGAGCCGGGAGAGGGCAAACAAACATTTTAAAAATGGCCAAAGGCTTTTTTATTTATATTTAGTGTGATCTTACCAACATTTCTTTTTATTTTTACTCTATAAAGTTTCTGTAAGTACCTGCATAATTGAACTTGATAGCTCTAAGAAAAGCAGCTTCATTCTTATGGATCCACTTTCCACCGTCATTTGAAGTAAAAAAAAGTGACATGTCTTTCAGTTTTGTGATCATGGGCGAAATCAAAATTTTCCAGTGTTCGTCAACGTTGTCTACATCTGGAATGCATTGGGACACAGCTGCCACTAACTTTTTCTGGTTTTCTTGCCTTTGACTTTCTTCAGCTAGCTCAAGAATAAACTGACAATAGAGCTCGGACAAGACTTCTGTAACGAGAGCTTGGTTCCACTGGATTGTTTTATCTGTGTGTGCGTTGTGACGAATCTGATCTGCCGTAGGCCATTTTACAACCCTTCTATTTTGGCTGAGAGCAAAAAACCCATTTACATGAATTGGCAAACCACTCAGGCTTTTCTCTGTCAACGGAAGTGGCAAAAAGCAGAAAATGTGACCTTGAAAATTCAAAGGGAAATCCATGTCCATAGCAACCCCAACATATGGACTGTAGGAAAGTGATTCATCAAGGGAAAGTTTTTGAAGGTTTGATGACATATGACTCTTTCCTTTGAATAGATTCATTACTTTCCATGTTTTTGATGTAGTGCAAAGTGCTTCATCTGTCACACAGACTGTCATTTCATAGCTGTTCAGGATAGATGTTGAGGGCAAGGTATTTTGCAGGTCCTGAATTTTTGACCTCATATTTGCTCTTGCAGCTCGTACATTTTCCGCCGACAATTCATTTATTTTCACTGAGAAATGGAACGTTCCTATGCTTGTAGTCTTTAAAGATTCTTCTTCTTCCCTCATTAATGTGATACTTTCCAAACATTTCAGAAAAAGTAGTGAAACTGGAGCTTCGTCTTTAAAAGACTCAAAAAGATCTTTCACTTTTGATTTGTTATATTTATTGTCTGACAGCTCAGTCTCCTCTTCCCTTAAAGGAAATCTGAATATTGTTCCCTGAAAATGACCTCTGTCGAGTGTTGTTTCTTCAAACCCCAAAACCCCACTGAATGCTTCTAAGCAGTCCTCCACTTTCATTTTCTTGTACTTGTAAAGTTTCCTGAGCTGCATTGTCTGGCACACCTTTGAAGAATCTTGATGGGGATCTATCACTAGAAGTTGCTTCCCACTGATAATAAGTGGATGATCTAGATACATGTGAGACATTTTATTCATGATACTGGTTTGAACCAAAAAAAAAAAAAAAAATTAAAGTTTATTTTGCATATAAACATTTTATGTATTTTACATTGTGCTTTAATATTGATTAGTTCTGTATACTACAAAAAGTATGTTTATATACTTTTGAATTTGCTCATTGAAACACAGATCAATTAGTTTACACAACTGCACATTAATTTCAAAAAATGGTATTTCAGAAATGTGAAAATGAACCATACTTATGCAATCATTATCTTTTTTGCATATTTGAATATAAGTCCTGAAAAATGGTCAATTGAAAGTTTACCTGTTATATGAAAAACTGACTTGAACCCAAGACCAAATCTTCCTACTTTTGTCCTATCAAATTCCTTTATGCTGCTATACAGCATCTTTATTCCTCTCCAATCCTCTTCTGAAAACACAGCATTGTTGTACACCAGAAGTGCTGGGCCCTTCATAAAGCATATAGAAGACAAATAAGTAAAATTTGAAAAGTATGTATCATATAAAAATCAGGTAACAATGTCTAATGCTTTAATTAGGTTTGATTATTGAACATTTGCACTCCGTTGCTCTGTGGTTTCTTTTAAATTGCCAAATTTCCACTTTGATAGGCTTGATAATTTCATCATGAATTACCCTGAAATATTTTCTGAATGGTGCTCTCTTTGTTGATTCATGCTGAACTGTTCGCCTGCCATCGTACAATATCTTCATTTCTGATGCTCCGGCATCCTCTGCATTTTGAATGATTTCCTGTTTATACAATTAATCATTTAATAAAGGAATCAACATTATTCATGCTAGATTTATTCCTTTAAAGGGACTTTTAAGAAGGCCGACTGGGGTTTTCACTGCACAATACTTTGCGCATCATAGTAAAATCAAGCGTATTTACAGTTTTAAAGCAACTACTTTTACTAATTGAGAGTTTACCTTAAGTATTTGTCCATCATCTGGATATTCACTCAGAATGGTCCTTAGCTGCTTAATGAGAGGGGGTTGTATCATCCCCGAGTATTCAATTTCATCATTAGAATCCGAGTCTACACCGTCCGCCATCTTTGATGAGTGATTACATCAGAAGCAACATAAATAGCTGAAAATATAAGATACGATCCCTCCTAAATTAATAATCCTTAAAAGTAATATAAAGATGTATGATAAATGTTCAAAAATGAACCTGTGTTTGTCAAAACAGAAGACGTTTATGTATAAATTAATAAGAAATTCAATCAAATGATTGCTAAGTTAATCAAACAAAATTAATAACCTGTCGTAAGGTGTTTCAAAACCTTAAGAGGGCTGGGTGGTTGTGGCCATTTTCAGACTCTATTGATCTCCTTTAGAAGAAGAGCTCCATATAAAGATATACAAAAATGATCAAATTTTAAAACTAAAATGTATGAAATTTTTGTTTGCCAAATGATAGTTGACAGCTTAAGATATCATATCTAAAAAATTAATTTATATCTGATGGTTAATTTGTTGACCCCCCAGCCTCCTTAATAAAAACTAGATCAAAGGTTTGTCAATGTTATCCATTCTCTGATTGTGGTTATCCAAAGACTTTTTAAAAAAAAAATCCATTCAAGTACTAAACATACATGGTTTTATTCCTTATCATTTATCGCGGCTGTTTGAAAGCTAGAAATACTTTTAAAAAAGTGAGGAACTACGAAGTCAGAAAATCGAACAGTCCCAAGGTAGAGCATAATATGGCAATGCTCATTTTCTCAAATTTCTATATATTCAAATACAAATGATCTAAATATATGTATCACATTTAAGCAGTAAAAATAAGTTAACGCAGCTTTAAAAACTACACTAGTCATTTTACATGCCTCTATTACTTTGATGAACACAATTTCAAAATTATGTGCAGTAAAGAAGATTTTCTGTCTTGGAATAACGACATTGATTTGGGTGATCTTTTAGAAGCGTATACAGAGCATGAGGACAAATATGCAGCAGAGAACCAGTTCATGCAAACAGATGTTGAAATCCATTTCTGGTTTTCGTGGACACATGACAAAATAGCACACAGTTTACTGCTGGCAAGTGAATGAAACCTAGCTAATTCAGTATATGTGTCAATGCAAGTTATACTTTATTTTCAAAATATGATAAGAATATGATAGGATTTAAATAATTAAAACTATTTCATGTCAAATGAATAATTATTGTTTTACATATTTTTTTCTTTCAGCAAGTTACCACAGAGTAACTCGTAGAACCAAAGACGCTCATTAAGTCCTGCTTCGTCGGTGGACTTTGAGAAAATTTTCCATGATGCGAGCCACCAAACGCTGGAGAAGGTGGGAGACAATCTAATGTACAAGTTATTTGAAGGCAGTCGCATGGAGATTTTGGCCAGCTTTTGCAAAGAGGCAAACTTCCTGGATAGATTTTTCCTTAATCAGCTCTGCAGGATATATTCAGCCTCAACTTGAGTGATGCTAGTGCAAGAGAGCTATACTTTTTCAAACTGAGACTGTCTCCCTGTGTACAGAGTGAATGCGTAACGCTATATAGGGAAAAGGGTTGTAAAGAGAAGAATTTGAACTAGAGATTTCCATCCGTAAGATCGTTGAATTCAGTGACATAGACGGAGATATTGAACAGTTGCAAAATGAAGAAGCACTTGATGGATTCTTTTCTGGTGAATTATTACATGATTGATTGATTGTACGTTGTTTTACGTCCCGATCAAAAATTTTTCACTCATATAGAGACATCAACTATATATCGGTGAAGGGTTTTAAATTTAGACCTTTTCTCGGCACTCAGGGCCGTTGAGGAGTGAGGGTTCTTTATCATGCCAACGCTTACCGTGAAACAGGACCTCGGTTTTTAAGGTCTCATCCAAAGGACCCGCAACTTTCACTTCAAAGTGCCGAGCGCTTGGCGAAGGAACAGCTGCTACATATTTTTGTCCCCCGCTTTCAGTGAAAATGGGGGATATTAATTTGGGTCTGTCTGTCCGTCCGTCCGTCCGTTTGTATTTCTGTCTGTCTGTAACACTTTCGGTTCCGCTCGATATCTCGAGAACCCTTTGAGCTTTCGCAATAACATTTTGCATAGCAACTCCCTATGGCCTAAAGAAGAACCCTATTGATTTTGAGGTCAAAAGGTCAAAGGTCAAGGTCATAAATTCATAAATTCTGTCTGTTTTAACACTTTCGTTTCCGCACGATATCTCGCGAATTCTTTGAGCTTTTGCAATGAAATTTTACATAGCAACTCCCTGTGGCCTAAGGAAGACCCCTATTGATTTTGAGGTCAAAAGGTCAAAGTTCAAGGTCGTAAATTCATAAATTCCATCTGTGTGTAACACTTTCGTTTCCGGGCGATATCTCAAGAAGATTTTGAGCTTTTGCAATGAAATTTGATACCATAACTCCCTAGGGCCTCTCTTGCCCCTCTCAAAGTGTCCCACCCCGTTTGTTTTAAAAATTTATTTATTGTATTAAAAGTCGCTTGGCACTATTCTTAGCACAGGGGCATGTGGAGATCGAGTTATTACGTATAATACAGGTTGTCGGCGGACTTTATATTATAATTACATCTATTAGAACTGTTTAGTAAAGGCTAAATTAGACAACATTTATTGTGTAAAATTTTGACAATATCAAACGTGAATATAAACATTATATGTGACTTAATGTTTGCATTTAATTTGCTGTATAATCAAGTGCCTTCGTGGTCTAGGGGTTTGTTGATCGCTTAGCAAGCGAGAGGCCCGGGTTCAATCCCCGGACGATTCTCTCTCTCTCTCTCTCTTTTTTGATTTACTAAATGATACTATTCAACATGTAAAATGAAAAAGTTATGACGTCTGGCGTGTGCAAACTCATAAAATCATTATTACAGTGTGATAAATATTCTGTATATTAAAAATTATCTTCTATACACATATTAAAGAATAAGCAATCAAATCTTTATATCCATATTGGCATTTTTTTTTTAATTTGCTTCAATATACATGTATACATTTAATAATTCTACAAATACAGGGGGCAGGTTGAACCCCCCCCCCCCCCCCGGACTGCGCATGCTCTTTTTTTCCCTAAGTGGGGGACACAAATTCTCTGAATTAGCTTGTTTATCGACTTAGGTCAGTCGCGGCCTTGATTCGAACACACGACTTTCCGATCACGGAGCGAGCGCTCTACTTAACGAATTATTACATGAGGGAACTGTTCTGCGATTGTACAAATAAGGACCTCTCTTCACTCTTGGACGACATTTTTTTTTACTGTAAGGGGATTTGCAGTAGCACTTGTGCTTCGTAACAAACTATGATAAGCAAGCCAGCCAGCCAGCTAAACAGAGGGACAGTCTCCGGCAGGTGTTGAAGCAGAACAGTACAAACACATCAAATTAAGACTGATCACCTATTTTAAGACATTATTTCTCATGTAATTATTTTCTTGTGCTTGGGTCATTAGCTGTATTTCAGGTGCATTATGGTTTTTTTTGCCAAAGATGTGTGTCGGTGATCAATATTAAATATTAGGCTTGATCTTGTTCACCTTCTTGATGTATTGATTATTGCCAATGACTTATGTCTCTGAATATTTATTGTGATGGGTTGCTCGTATATAGGTCCCTGAAATAACATGTACATATTATTGCAAATATATTAAGCACACATAATATAGGCATATTCCAGGCCATCTTTAAAATGACGTTTGAAATGTTTGCCCTCTCCCGACTTAAGGTAAAAAAAATGGGTCGGTAGGTAGGTAGGTGGGAGAATTTTCCCCAGAAATTTCAACATACTTGTTGACGGGATGAGAAAATTCATGAATAAAAAGAAAAAAAAATATCGTTTCCTAGAGATTAAAAAAAGTTTTGAATCGGGCCTTTTTAGCCAGTAGGTCGGGAGAGGTAAACAAATATTTTTTAAAGATGGCCCCAAATCAAAAAACCCAGACAGGAAATGGAGCAAAAGCGTACACATTGATTTGATTATATCCCTAGTTGTCAAACTGATCAAATTAAAAGACGATAGAAATCCATCGCAGCTCATTGCAGATGGGAGTACCTGTATCGAGTATCACAGAGTGAATGAAAGAAAAAGTGAGCAAGCTCACATACCCCACGCTCCCCCAAAACTCGACAATGCAACACGTAATGAATGGCACAGTGCATTTTAAATAAACAGTATAATTCAAAAAGGGGCATTACTCGCAAAAAACATCACATCAAAACTTCTTGCATATAAGGACATTCAAATCTTTGTACGTTACGAATTTAATGGGGCTGAAGTTTCTAGATAATAATGGAATCAAAATTTCTTGGTAATATACAAATCTATACATTATGTCTGAAATACCTACAGAGTTTCAGGAAATTCAGTGCTGGAGTTATGCTTACAACCTGTTATTTAAATTCCTCTGTGATTTCGATTTGTTAATGAGTGTAAGTCCATGTCCTACACATGACAATTTACATATTTTAAATAATTGATGGAAACAAAATTATGATGTAGTCATATGAATTTTTTTTATATACTAAACTTATGAAATTAATTAAGGCAAAGCACCAATTGGGGGGGGGGGGGGGGGGGGGCTATCCAAGATTTTGTGTGTGTGTGTGTGTGAGGGTGTGTGTGTGTGTGTGTGTGTGTGTGTTAAATCATTAATATTTTGATCTCAAAATTAATAGGGGTCTTTTAAGGTCATAAAATTTCATTACAAAAGCTGATTCCAGTGGATTTTCTTATTACCTAACTGGAAAGTTTCTTCAATAATAGGCAAAACTCTTAATACAAAAATAATGGAATCGGAAATTTCCTGGTAATATGCATATCTACACACTGTGTCCTAAATATCTGCAAAGTTTGACCTAATTCTGAGCAGCGGTTTAAGAGGAGTTGCACTGACAAACTGTTCATCTCTATATTCAATATATATGGCCAAAAATCTAAGTTGAAAAGTACTGAAATTCCCAGAAAAATGATGGAATCGGAATTTCCTGGCAATATGCACATACACACATTGTGTCCTAAATATCTGCAAAGTTTGACCAAATTCTGTGCAGCGGTTTATGACGAGTTGTGCTGACAAAAAAAAACAGGACTGACGGAC